CCCTTAGACTGCACCCGGTGGTGCCGGGACACTCTCCAGTCTCAGCGGCGAGAACAGTGGCATAAGTTTCAGCAGGTCCTGCGCCACCTTGAAAGCCTCTGGGGTGGACAGGAACAGTAGATGCTGTGATGGGTGTGGTGAGCGAGATGGGCCCGGACTCGACTGCCTCGCTTGTGCAGGAATCAACATGGTCGCTTGGGCAGGAGTTCCCGAGCTGTGGCCCGACTGAGGTTCTACTGGTGGCTGGTCCCTGGGCCTTGCCAAGGGAGATCGGCCTCTCTCCGACCTCTTTTTCTTTTGCGCTGGCAATTGGGACCAGTGCCGAAGGCTGTACTGTCCCCGAGATGCTCCATGACGGTGCCCGGCCTCCTTGCCAGCATCTTTCTTCGTCACCGGATCCTTCAAAGACAGTGCCGGAGTGCTTCATGCCAAAGACGATGTGCTGGGAGCAGGATCCCGACGCCTGGGTCCGACTGAGGTTGGAGAGAGGCCGATGAGAATTTTGAGACGCTGCTCCCTCTCCTTAATGGTTCTTGGTCAGAATTCCCGACAGATCTTGCAGCGGTCTTTCTGGTGACCCTCACCGAGGCACCGTAAGCTGGTGTGGAGGAGACTTTTTGGCATGCGCTTTGCACAAATCTGGCAAGTCTTAAAGCTTGGGGATCGCAGCATGCCCCAGTAACAAATGGGGGGGAGAGGAAATTGGGGAAGGACCCCCCGTAACTGAAACTTATAAAGAACTATTAAACTATACTAACTACTGGAAACTAACTATGTACAGCGTATAAAGCACTGCTAATCCACTTGCCAAAGCAAGAGAAGAGCAAGGGGAAATTCCAGCTACTGGCAGTAAGAAGGAACTGAGGGGGTGTAGGGTCGACAGGGCTCTATATTGGATGTCATGAAGGCGTGACTCGAGCGGGCGCCCAGGCCGACCCTAAGGTTGCTGCTAGGGGAAAAATCTTCTGGTTACTGTGCACGTGTGCGCACAGACACCTGATAGGAATTGACATGAACAAACATTCAAAGAAGAACAAGTGGTTATAGTACACAACAAAACTATAAAACTTTGAACCTGGGTCTACACTTATCAATAGTTATCTTTCCTATCTAATAAAGTAGATTTGCCGCCAAAGTTCAGTCTCTTGCAAAGGTGGCTGGTTTCTCAAGAACTAGGATCCAAACGTTCATGAAAACACCCCCCTCCGCCCAGGGTCTTCCTCAGTGAATGAATCCAGAGTGCCTTTCTCAGCACATCCTTACACTGAAAACAGTCTTTCGTTTCTATTCACAGGCAGGGCAAACCCCTGCCCTGTTGCAGAGTTCCTTTTCTACCTCTAAGTGGTTTCAATTGTTTATTGTTGTCTCTGATGATTTTCCATTAATTTTTCTGGGATGTGGCAAGAGTAGACCACAGAACCTTGCATTACCTCACTGGCTGACTAGGAAGGGTGACATCTCCTTCTTGCTTGAATGGGTAATCAAAAAGACACATTATCTCCTGGTGACTGATTTCTACTCCAAGTCCATAAAGCATACTTTCAATATAAATACATTATTCCTTAACTATTATCCATACACACATCTTGCAATCATAGAATCATAGGACTGAAAGGGACCTCGAGAGGTCATCTAGTCCTGGCCCTTGCCTCATGGCAAGACTAAGTATTATCTAGACCATTCCTGACAGGTGTTTGTCTAACCTGCTCTTAAAAATCTCCAATAATGGAGATTTGGGTAATTTATTCTAGTGCTTAACCACCCTGACAGTTAGGAAGTTTTTCCTAATGTCTAAAATAAACTGCCCTTGTGCAATTTAAGCCCATTGCTTCTTGTCCTATCCTCAGAGGTTAAGAAAAACAATTTTTCTCCCTCTCCTTTTAAGAACCTTTTACGTACTTGAAAACTGTTATGTCCCCCCTGAGTCTTCTCTTTTCCAGACTAAACAAACACATTTTTTTCAATCTTCCCTCACAGGTCATGTTTTCTAGGCCTTTAATCATTTTTGTTGCTCTTCTCTGGACTTTCTCCAAATCCTTCCTGAAATGTGGTGCCCAGAACTGGACACAATACCTCAATTGAGGTTTAATCAGCATGGATTAGAGCAGAAGAATTATTCCTCATGTCTTGCTTAGAATACTACTGCTAATGCATCCCAGAATGTTTGCCTTTTTTTCAACAGTGTTACACTGTTGACTCATACTTAGCTTGTGATCCACTATGACCACTAGATCCCTTTCTGCTGTACTCCTTTCTAGGCCATCATTTCCCATTTTGTACGTGTGCAACTGATTGTTTCTTCCTAAGTGGAGTACTTTGCATTTGTCCTTATTGAATTTCATTCTATTTACTTCAGATCATTTCTCCAGTTTGTCCAGATCATTTTGAATTTTAATTCATTCTCAAAAGCACTTGCAACCCCTCCCATCTTGGTATCATCTGCAATGATTATGTTTTGACAGGTTATGATATTCTTTACGGACAAATAGCCTGTAAGACATGTTTGGTGTAATGAGTTTTTCAGGTCTGAAGTGAACTCTTTGCAAACAACAGGGGACCCTTTGCCAAAGGGTCTCTATGTCACATGGGGAATTCTTCCATTGACCAATCTACCTACCTAAGAGAACAAACCTATATACATTTACCAGGCCTCATTTTCAGCTTGTCTCACTCCTGCTACTCTTTCGGTGACTAGATGGATTTATGAAAAAAATTGCACCAATATGAAAGTTACACGCTTGAGGCACTTTTCCCCCTTGAGGGACTAACCTGAATTAGTATCACCATTTACATAGGTAATGAATAACTTGATTAATAAAAAATTAAAGGAGGGTAATAGAATTAATGCCAATCAACATAGGTTTATGGAAAATAGATCCTGTCAGTATTTTTATTTTTTACATTGACTTGGTTAAACTGTTGCCAAAGGGTATGTGGACTCTCTCTCTTATTTGGTTTAGCTTCAGGCAATTAGGAACAAATTTAAACTAAACCATAATAAGCTGCTCCTAAACACAAATAAGAGCATCCACAGAACTATCAGCTTCAAGTGGTCTCTGCATGTTCCTACTCTTGATGATGCAGCTTGAACAAGTGCAAGGGCCAAATGTAAATGTATACATCTAGAAACAAAGAATGGAGGCCATATTTACAAGATGGGGGACTCTATGCTGAGAAGCAGTAACTCTGAAAAAGATGTAGGGGTCATAGTGGATAATCAGCTGAACATGAGCTACCAGTGAGGCACTGTGGCCAAAAGGGCTAACCCAATCCTTAGATACATAAACGGGTATTTTGAGCTAAGTTCCCTGTAAGCTGTGCGGCCACACGGCAGCCTATTTAGGGACCCCACCCAGGGACCTGCCGCAGCCGGGACCACCCAGGGGAGGAGCACACCTCCCCCATCCCCAACCTAGCCTAGCCCCCAACCTGCTGCGGCCAGGGTGGCCTGGACCTGCTGTGGTGCCCATCCACCGGCCCCAACTCTGCTGCAGCCTGGACCTGCAGCAGCCGGGGTGGTGCAGCCCGGCCCAGCCCCAGCCACGGCCGGGGCAGCTCAGCCTAGACTCACCTGCAGCTGGGGCGGCGTGGACCCAGGCACAGCCGGAGCGTCCTGTCCCGGCCCGGCCCGGCCCTAGGCGCGGCTCAGCCCGGCATGGATCCAGGTGCAGCTGGAGCAGCCCGGCACAGCCCCAGGTGTGGCCAGGGCACCCCTTCCCCAGCCCGAACCCAGTCCCGGCCTGGACCTGCTGGGGCTGGGGAAGGGGCGCCTATCCTGCAGCCCCAGCGCTGCTGTGGGGAGAGAGAGCTGGTGGGAGTCCTCTCTCCCCACCTTAGCCCCAGAGCACCCTCCTGCACCCCAAACCCTTCATCCCTGGCCCCACCCCAGAGCCCGCACTCCCAGCACCCAACCCTCTGCCCCAGCCCTGAGCCCCTCATCCCTGGCCCCACCCCAGAGCCCATACCCCCAGCCGGAGCCCTCATACCCCTGCACCCCAACCCTCTGCCCCAGCCCTGAGCCCACTACCACACTCCGAACCCCTTGGCCCCACTCCCACCACATGAATTTTGTTATGTGCACCAATATGAAGGTGATGTGCCACACATCACCTCCATATTGGTGCACATAACAAAATTCATTCCGCACATGGGTGGGAAAAGTTAGAGGGAATACTGATTTTGAGTAGGAGTAGAGAGATTATTTTACCTCTGTATTTGGCATTGGTGCAACTGCTGCTGGAATAGCATGCCTAGTTCTGGTGTCCGCAATTCAATGAGGATGTTGATAAATTGGTAAGGGTTCAAAGAAGAGCCATGACAATGATTAAAGGATTAGAAAACATACTTTATAGTGACAGACTCAAGGAGCTCCATCTGTTTAGCTTAACAAAGAGAAGGTTAAGGGGTGACTTGAGCATAGTCTATAAGTACCTAAATAGGGAATAAATATTTGATAGTAAGCTCTTCAGTCTAGCAAATAAAATTATAATACGATGGCTGGATGTTGAAGCTAGACAAATTCAGACTGGAAATAAGGCATCCATTTTTAACAGTGAGGGTAATTAACAAGTGGAACAACTTACCAATGATTCTGTGGATTCTGCATCACTGGCAATTTTTAAATCAAGATTGAATTTTTTTTTTTTTTATAAAAGACAGGCTACAGATCAAACAGGAATTAATTCAAAGAAGTCCTATGGCCTGTCTTATACAGGAGATCAGAATAGATGATCCCAGTGGTCCCTTCCGGCCTTGTAATCTATGAATCTAGGAATATAGCCCATGATATTGTACATTTATGACATTTACCACCTCTACCAATTGAAAAAGGAATACAGCAAAAGCTGTCCTTTATAAAAATTCCATCACTCAGAATCACAGAAATGACATCTGGAAATGATTTCTTGGTGTATGCGACAGGGTGACTCTCTTGTGATGTACTGTATCCTGATGTTTGTGTTTTGTGTCAGCAACAACCTTGCCAAGCGCAATGCACTGACCTGGTAATCCAACATGAGGAGAAGTGTGCACCGCACACTCACATCACCAGGCCTCTTCACCTGGAAGCCATCAGTCTCCTGGGTAGTGGGAGTTCTATGCCACTGCCAGAGGAGAAACAGAACAGGAAGAAGGTCAGTCTCAGTTTGCCTCTGTCTGACCTGGGAGATTGTGTGGTCGTGAGTGTGTATATATAGTTTTCATGCAAAAATTATCATTAGTTCAACAGTAAGATTCTGAAATCACACCCTCTGAACAGTATTGCCAGGCGTCCAGTTTTTGACTGGAATGCCTGGTTGAAAAGGGACCCTGGCAGCTCCGGTAAGCACCTCTGACCAGGCAATTAAAAGTCTGGTCAGCGGCACATGGGGGCTAAGGCAGATTCCCTGCCTGCCCTGGCTCCACGCAGCTCCCGGAAGCAGCAGCATGTCCCTCAGGCTCCTAGGCGCAAGGGCGGCCAGTGAGACTCTGAACGCTGCTCCTGCCCCAAGCGCCGACACTGCCGCTCCCATTGGCTGGGAACTGCAGCCAATGGGAGCTGCGGGGGCGATGCTTGTGGGCGAAGGCAGTGTGCGGAGCTCCCTGGCTGCCCCAGTGCCTTGGAGCCACAGGGACATATTGGACACTTCCGGGAGCTTTGAGGTAAGCGTCACCTGGAGCCCACACCCCAACCCTCTGCCCCAGCCCTGAGCCCCCTCCCGGAACCCTCATCCTCTTCCTGCACCCCAAACCCCTGCCCCAGCCCTGAGCCCCCTCCCACACTCAAAGTCCCTCCCAAAGCCCGCACCCCAAACCCCCTCCCACACGCCAACACTCTGCCCCAGCCTGAGCCCCCTCCTGAACCCCAAACCCCTCATCCTCAGCCCCACACCAGAGCCCACACCCCCTGCCCCAACCTGGTGAAAATGAACAAGTAAGTGAGGGTGGGGGAGAGCAAATGACAGAGGAAGGGGGAATGGAGTGAGCAGGGGGCGGGGCCTCGGAGAAGGGGCAGGGCAGGGGCAAGTGAGTTCAGATTTCTATGATTAGACATTTGGCAACCCTGCTTCCAAAGTTAGAAAATTCCAACTCTCCCCCTTGCGCATATGCCTTAAAATACAATCTCTCTTTATATCAATGTATGTTATTTGCTGGATAACACAATATATACTGCAAACTGCAATTTTTTATACAACCTGTGATGGGGTATATAAAGGGTG